GGATCCGCAGAACCTTTTTCACCGTCGCGCGATGTTTGGAGAGGTCGCTGGAGTATATGAGGATGTCGTCCAGGTACACGATCACGCGACCCTGGGAAATCAAGTTGGAAAACAATTCATTCATCATGGATTGGAACGTGGCCGGTGAGTTGGTGAGGCCGAAAAACATCACGAGGGGGGGTTCGAATAGGCCCCGGTTGGTAACGAACGCAGCCTTCTCTTCGTCGCCTTCCTTTATGCGTATATTGTTGTACCCCCAACGCACGTCGAGTTTGGTGAACCACCGAGCGTTACGTAACTTATGCATGATGTCTGATATGAGTGGTATCGGGTATTAGTTTTTTATAGTGATCTCGTTCAGCTTCCGGTAGTCCTGCACGGGCCATAATTTCCCGTCCTTCTTCTTGACGAAGAAGAACGGGGATGCGTATGGGGATTTCGAGGGCCGGATCCGCCCGGTTGCCAAGTGTTCCTTAATGAATGCGTCGAGCTCTTTCTGCTCTTCCCCTGATAGGGGAATGCAGCGTCCTTTGACGGGTTCGGCGTCCGGGTGCAGTTCGATGGCATGGTCCCACTTCCTTTGTTCCGGTAGTTTGTCGAAGTCCTGTTTTTCGAAGACTTCCTTGAACTCCTCGAGGTAGTACCCGCGCGCACTCCTCGATGGTTCGGGGCTTCTCGGCGGCGTAGGCGGCGGCGGCCAGCTTGGTGGCCACGCTCTGCACTCTGCATGGCCCGGATGTGGACGGGCGTGTTTGACCCCTCCTCGTATATCCGGGTAACGAAGAGGCGATCCCCTTTGCCCAGGGGTTCGTTGTCCTCTTCGTCCCATTGTTCCAACAATCGGGCCCGCTTGCACTCGGGCGGGCATCGGGTAAAGGCGATTGCACCTTCACGCCAATCGATCACGGGGTTGTGCTTCTTGAGCCAATGATGCCCGATGATCACATCACTGTTCCCGGTGTCCGTGATGGCAAACGTGAGAAGCTTGGAGTGGTCTTGGATGGTGACCCGTAAGTGGGTGACGTGGGTGATCGCCCCGTCGGCGTTGATCGTCCCGTCGGCGTTGTATACTGGGACTGGGTGTGGCAGGGCCTCGAGTTCCAGTTGAGAGTCCTCCGCAAACTGCTTGTGCATGAACTCGGAGGTGGCTCCACTGTCGAGGAGGGCGTCGACCGAGTATCCTCGGAGGTTGTTGACCCCTTGGAGGGTGACAGCCACTCGGGTGGCCGTGGTGCCTTCGCTTTTCCGAAAGGGGGGTGGCATCTTGTAGCTGTCGCAAAGCTTCGGCTACGTCGGGGGCGTACCCTGTTCGTATGAACTCTTCTAGTTCGGGCCCGTTCTCGGCTCGCCGGGCCGGGTGTATCCACTGTTGTAGCTTCGAGCGGGCCTTTTCGGGCTGGTCTCGAATCTGCGCGACAAGCCTTTCGGCACTGGCCGCGGGCCAATTCTTCCAAGCGGGCCTCGGGGTATCTCGTACGGCTTTGTACGGGCCCTTCTTGCGGGTGGAAACGGCGGGTTGTGGGGCTCTTTGTTCGGGGTTGGTTTCTACGTCTGGTCCCACGATCTCTGAGTTGGCAACACGGAATATCGATTATGCGGGTTGTAACTAAAGACACTTGTGGTATACATCAGCGAGGGCGTAGACTTCACTCGCGACGATCGCCAAAATCCGCCTTATCCGCGTTATCTTTGATAAACTCCGAGAAGATAGCGCGGATCTGGGTGGCCGATGCGGCCCGGTTCGGGCACATCCGGCTGATGTGTCCTTCTTGGCCGCAGTTGTAGCAGCGAGTGCTGCGGGCCGTAGCGGGGGCCTGGGCCCGGTCGATCTCCATAGGTGCAGGCCCTGTCGTAGGTCCGGCAACCGTGGTTGCCCTGTTTCCTCGGGGTGCGGCCACGGTCAGTCCGGCGGCGCTAATCGCCGCGTTTCGGGCCCAACCGTTGAATGGGTTGCGGTTGCTAAACCCGCTCTTGGCGGGGGCAGGTGTCGTCGGGGGCGTTTTGGCCCGCGGGTGGTTGACTTTGTGGCTTTCGTCGAAAATACGGTAGCGGCGGAGTGCGCCGTCTTGCTTGATGGCCTCCGCCTTCCAGGCCTCGTAGGTATCGGGGAGTGTATCCTTTCGGTAGACCGCGTTCGTAACGCCCTGAAGCATACAGTTCTTGGCGACGCGAATGAGGTTGAGGTCGTCGTAGTGCGCGACTTTGTTGAGGGAGTCGAGTACTGTGAAATAGCTGGTCGCGTCCATGTCTTTGGTCTGGACGAAGGTCTCCATCTTCTGCTGCGCGATTTCAGCGTGGGCCTCCCCTCGGAAGGCCGTGATGAAGGCTTTCTCGAAGCCTTCGTACGTAGTATAGGCTTCGGCGGTGCGGAGTTTCATGGCTTGGGAGACGTTCTCCTTCCACGTGACCACGTTTCCTCCTTTAATGTAGGAGAGAGCATACGAGATCTTTCGTACATCGTCATTGTAAACATTCGCGTTGGCTTCGAAAGCCAACCAGCAATCGGCCAGGAAGGCGTCTACTTCGCTGGGGTCGCCCGTGAACTCCTTAGGGGGAGAGACGGTTACTCGTGTATTTCCTCCGTGGGGCCGATGGGCCAAGTCTTCTCTAGCTTGGCGGAGCAGATCGTAGCTCTGCATAACTCCCTGCTGTACAGCTGTGTACTCCCCGTTTACTCGGGACAGCTCGGCCTTGATGACCACTTGTCGATTTGCCAGGGCGGTGTTTTCCACCTTGAGTTGCTCCATCTCCTGATTCGTTCGGAACAGATGGGCGAACAGGAACTCCTGTTGTTCGTTATGGCCCAAGGCAATGAATCGGGCATGCTCGTCCCCCTGGTTTGCGGGGGTGCCCATCGTACTGTCGTGCTCGGTAGACATTTGTCGCGCTTCTTGCGTTCGTAGGGGAGGCTAATATTCTGTCAACGTCAGGTTCGGGCCGTATCGGGGCGTCGGGGGGTCCGACTTCGAGAGGGTCTGAGGAGCACGAAAGATGGGTGTTCGCCCGGAGAATAGACGATATTAGCCTAGCGACTACATCTTGTAAGTACGGTTTTTATACACCATGGTATTAGGGATGGATCGGATGGGCGCCAGGCCCCAGGGCGGATCGGATGGGCGCTGCGTAGGGCCGCAGGGGTGAAGGGAAGGGGCTGGAAGAATGAGGGAGCGTCGAGGAGTATGGCGGTATGTGGGCCCGTGCGTCCTCGTGGCCCGGCGGCCCGACCCGAACCGTGACAATATTCCTTTTAGAGTACACTCCCTTTGGGTATTTTCCATAGAATTGGATAGATTCTAGCGAGAAACGGGCTCTGCGAACTTTTCCTAGTCAAGATTTTGGAATCACTGAGAGTGATTTGATAGATTTTGACTGGAGTTTGACTGGCTCTTGTGCAGGTAACTCCCTAGTTGACCATTCGGGACTCATGTCAACTCTGAGACGTGCACTGAGCAACAAAATCGACAAAAATAGTCGTTTCCTGGTCTGTCCCAGACTGCGGCTTATCACCGCGTCCAGGAGAAGACATAGCCTGCTGCTTCTGGGTCTGTAAACATCGTCATTGGAGTCCACATGTTGTCCGCCGATCGCCACCAGCGCGCAGCGGGAAGCGTGCAGATACTAAGAGCTGGGGAAGCAGCACCCCAGCGGTGGACCCATACCGCCTCGTAGTCTAGTTGATGCATGTGCTTTTGGAACTGTACCACGCTGTCTCTGGCACGGGATGAACCGACATCAATGTCTGTATAGAGCACGTGGTCAATATCGAGATGGAACAGATGTTGCATTGTCGGGAGCGCAGAGGCCACCGACTCCACGAACGCCTGCAGCAGCGGGGCGTTGTAGAAATGGGGGAGGGAAAGAAGGTTATGATAGAACACGCACCTCTTGCATGCGGATATCAGCCGAGGACTCGTCCAGTACCTTGTCAGCCGGCCAATCCCGCACTTCCACGGCGAGCGACCCCAGGTTGGGTGCTGCGCGCGAAAGTGCAGCCATGAGCCCTTGATCCCACAAGAACTGGTTGATTGTGACGGCGCGTAGGGTAGACATAGTGTCGAAGGAGGCAAATACGCGAGAGGCGCCATGTCTGTCATCTTCTTCGGTGAGTCGAAGACCGGTAAGTGGCTGGATGCCATGACAAAGGCGGGCCGCAAGCGAACACGCCCCGCGAAAGACGCTAAGATTGGCAAAGAAGGGGAGAGGGAGGTTCTGGGCGTGTCGCTGCGTGTAATCGATATCCAGAAACTCGAGCTAGTGGATAATTTTCCCATTTGATGCCATAGATCAAATGCTTCATTAATGCTGATTGTAAAGACTCTGAGACAAATCCACATGCAGCAAGTGCATATCTATAGTCTGTGTTGTGTCTAGCCCAAGTGAAACTGGCACAAGCAGGGCAGTGGGCCAGTAACGGGCCCCCGGGGGGCGGCCTGCAAGGGAGGGATCGCTCCGCTGATCATTTGATCGCCGAGTCAGGTAAGCCTGCTGATGTAAATGACAGCGGGGCATGGCTCGTGGCTGCGGAGCAAGCAACTCCTCAATCGTTATTGCTGGGCAGCCGCTAGAGAACCGGTTGATGCATCAAGCCCACTCTAAGGTGAGTGCTCTTGATGAATAGTGGCACTTCACTCGCAAGTGTCTACTGATTCATCATATCCCCAGGTAGGCCTGGCGGACATGGGAGGAAAGGACAATTTGTCAGTGCTTACGTGTCCCCGGCGATCGGCAGACCGTGACACCAATCTCCGATTCCGATGACCGTTAGACGCGCTGACGACTGCAGGATACCCAGCATATACAAAGTCCGCCCTCGACCACGGCTCCTACAGTAGCGCCAGGGCTCGCGGATCCTTTGCAGATACGCAATAACCTTCGTCGTGGTGAGGTGCTGAGTAATGGTCACGCGTGACGCTTGGCGCTGAGTAGTGGTCACGCGTGACGCTTGGCAATCAACGGTTGATCGTCGCGATGCGAAGCACGTGTCCATCAACAACCTGCTTCTGCCCGTCATGTCCGACACCGAGTCGGAGCGGGACTGGGAGAGGTGCGCCGTTGCGCTCCTGCCGGCGCCGCTGACGATGACCACAGCTTACTCAGCGAACCCCTGCCCGTGCTATCCCGGCCGCTCAACGCGCTGCGCCGGTCTAACGCGGTCCCGAGCGAGGCGGAGGTGCAAGCGATGGAGGCGTTTCTGGAGGAGTGCGAGGACCGTTCCTACGCTATCGAAGACGCCATCGACACGCTGAGAGACAGACACAGGGTTCTGCAGCGCACGATGAAGAAGTGCCGGCGGGTGTTCTCCACGGTGCGCCGTCTCCCGCCCGACATCCTGGGCGAAATCGCAGGGCATATACGCGATCGGAGCGGCGCTGTTGTCCCGCCGTGGGAGATGTCACGCGTGTGTACGAGCTGGCGGTTGGCCTTGACGCGCTTCCCATCGTTGTGGACGGCCCTTGCGACGGCGGAAGGGGAGAGCGGGAAGCTCCGGCTTCAGGTGGAACGCGGTGGTAATGCTTTGCTACGCGTGAGAATCGCGCCTCGTAGCAAGGAGGAGATCGACTCACATGTCGAGCTTATCGTGCCCCATACACAGAGGTGGGGGACGCTCCTGCTTGGCGCTCCGGATTATTCGGAGTTCACAACTGGCCGGCCCTTCCGTCGTGAATTCTTGGAGCTGATCCTGCCGCCTACAGCAACATATGAGCGCATGTCGGAGCTCGTCCTGTGCTCCGAGCTCATTCCTTGGAACACCTTCAATGTCGCGGCGACATTCCCCGCATTACGCAAGCTAAGCATGCTCAGGCTTTCTCGGTCGCCACTCACGACGGTGTTCCCCTGGGGCCAACTCACTCATTTCTGCACGCATGTCTCCAACATCGACCCCGTCCACGTGCTCAGGAACGCTCCCAACCTTATCCATTTCGCAGCCAACGGCAGTCCGTCCGAAAACACTGACCAGACAGTGTTCACGCTCGCGCATCTGCGCAGCATCTATCTCTCGACAGAGTACACCGGACTCTTGCCCCTTCTCGTCGCCCCGGCGCTTCAGGTATTGGCGGTGCTCCCCTGGGCCGGCAGCAGGGCCAACGGGCTGTCCATCATCAAGCCCTTCCTGGAGCGTTCCTCTCCCCCACTGACCACACTCGTCCTCGAGATGGGGATCTGGTCGATTGATTTTATTGATTGGGACTTAGACGACAAGCTAGTTTCTCAAGATTTGCGTCCAGTCTTGCGTCTCTGTCCCGTGCTTGAATACCTGCTGCTGTACACCAGCCCCGGGCGGAACAGGGAGACTGGCCCCAGCGCGGAGACACTTGAGCCGCTGTTCACCGCGCTGGAGCGCGAGGACGGGCTGTGTCCGCGCCTCACGCACCTACTCCTCGGCGTCGGGAGCGCCCGGAGGCCCCACCGGGAGGGCTTCCGCTATGACTTTGACGACTACGACTCGGACACGCCGGATGCCGGCGTGGGCCGTGCCTTTCGGAGCATGCTGCGCCGCCGTGCGAGCGCGCCCGTGGACGCCGCATACGCGCGTCTGCGCTATCTCCGGCTGGGCCAAGAGGACAAGCAGCTGCTCGAGCCAGATGGCTTCGACTCCGACGAGGAGGACGAGGCGTTCCGGGTGCCAAAGGGGATGGATGCGCGCATTGTTCAGCAAGAGGAGTTGGTGGATGTCGCGGTGGAGTGGCGCGGGTTCCCGTTGGACTGGACCGCGAGCATCCGGTCGGGGTACTAGTACTGATGTGTGTGTTGTACAGCAGCTATGAATGAACTACTTATTGATCATTGATACAATTATCCAACTCCCCCTGCCGCATCGATAAGCATTTTAAGGTGTGCAGGACCAGTGATTGCAAAGAGATGTTATGTTATATATAATATATAGTTTTAACACAACAGCCTGGGCTCGCCGCCACAATGTCATGCCTGATAGGCACCCAAAATCTCTGGTGCAGCTGTACCAGGTCCAACCCTGTCCAGGCTTTTCGAAGAAGGTAAGATCTCCGTTTTTTGTACAGGTGTGTTCTGGATTTATATTGCAAAAGTCACTGTAGATCGTAAAAACTCAAATTTTTACAAAGCGCGTGCATGTGTGTGTGGAAATTTAGTCACCCCAAGGAATTGAACCAAAACTCGAGGATTTTGTTTAAATTTTAAGACCACAAAAAGGGACACCTTTATTTGTTGGGGAAAATGGATTCAAAAAGAGACAATAAGTAGAACAGCAATCTTATCAGAAAAAAAAAAAGAATCAACATTGTCATACAAAAAGTAGGGTGCTGTGAGTAATTCCTGGGGAATTACTCACAGCTGTTTCGAAACCGGTTTCGAAACCGGCCGGCTGCCGGGACCGGACCGCTCCGTCGGTAGCCGGCCGAGGTGCCAACCGAGATTCAACGTCCCACATTGGCATACCGGTCCACGCCAAGGGAGTTGGTGCCACAGCCGAGCTATTCCCGTGGGGGAGGTGCCATTCTGGTGATGGTCGGCCACCTGGGCCATGACAACAGTCGCCGAAAGCCGAGGTCGGGCATCCCGGACAACCACGTGCCGGTTTCGAAACCGGGGCAACCCTCGGAACATTTCAAAACTCACAGGTGTTTCGAAACCGTTTCGAAACGGGTTTCGAAACACCTTCAACTCACAGCACCCTACAAAAAAGCCTCTTAGGCCCAGACATCTTCCATTTTCCCCACATATGCACCCTTTTTCTCCTGCAATCTAAGAAACATTTTCCTGGTTAGATTTCCTTTCTATCTAGTTGGCATTCTTTAAACCTTTTTTTCTAATCAATAAAGGATGTCATTTTTTCAACTACTGTGGTTCCCGCTGATTGGGTAATTTCCCATTGACTGGGTAATCACAAAGTCCTAGCATAGTTTTTTGCATAGTGCTTCCGGTATCATCCGGGATGGGTTTCGTAGCCTATTAAGTATATCCTGACAAAAAATTAGAGGTATCCGTGAGGAGATGGTGTGCCGGCGCAGTGGCCGATCATGCGACTCATCTGATCTGGCTTTGTTTGTGACACGACCTTTATTAAAATTTAAGAAAGCCTCCGATTTTCTTCTGAGTTGTAGGGGTGAGTACTTCCTGGGTCCCCACTTTGACTGCCATGCACACACATACACATAGAAAAATTTTTTTGAAAAAAAGTTTTGCAAAGATTGTATTTTACGCCACTTTTTGATCACATCAGTGGTCCCATGATGCTAATCGTGGGAACAGATTACCTGTATGGCAAGATAAGGGGAGGGGGGGTCCCTAGAGAGTCAGAAAAAAATAGGATGCTATGAAATGTTCGGGTTAACATGTTCATAAACCACACTTGATCATGTGATTTGGGTGTGGCAGTGCTAAATTTGGCAACATTATGGGTATAATACTATCACTATGAAAGTTCAGCAAGCATTGTATCCACACTGTGAGGCTTAGAACACTCCCAGCATATAAAAACTTGAAGCTGCACTGTAAGGGCAACCCCGGAGGCCTGAGATCAAGGTCCTAGCAGGGGAGGATCCAAAGAGTGAATAGAAGTAAGCAAATACAAGTGAGGCTGACCTAGCAGGGGAGGATCCAAAGAGAAGAAACTCTAAGGGTCCGCCTGCTAGGTAGCGGAACTATATACTGCGCTCTTGACGCGCCAAGGTTGATCGTTGCTCCGTGCAGTATGCCTGCGCCATGTCGCAGGCCAGGTCCCAGGGGGATCGCCAGGCGGGGGGGGGCGATGCGCCTGACGGAGGCGGTGATGCGATCACCGGAGTCGGACCGGAATCGGGATCGTCTCCGAGGGGCCGAAAGGGAGGTTCCCCTGACATCACCCCCCCCTTTGAATGCGGCGTCCCGACGCATAGACCGGAACGGAATCGAGTCGAAGGTTGCGGAGGCGATGTGCCGTGGTTTGCCAGGGTACTTACGGTAGAACTCCGCGATTTTGTCCGGGGCGAAGACGCGGTCGAAGCGGACCCACTGGTCGTGCGACGACGCGTCGTAGCCTTTCCATCTGACGAAGTAATTCAGCCGTTTATACCTCACCCTTGGTCCAAGATCTCCTCTACTTCCCACTCCGGGACTCCGTCCTCGAGGTCCGGAGGGGGCTGGTCGTAGCCGGGGCGTCCGTCGAAGGGGTCGTCTTGGGCGAGCTCAAGCTTGACGACGGGGAAGACCGGGTGGAGCTTCGAGTAGCGCGGAGGGAGGTCGAGCTTGTAGGCACCTTTGCTGATCTCCGCGACTATCTTGAACGGACCGAGGCGGCGGTGGGAGAACTTCTCCGAGGGGCGAGTCGTCCTGATGTCAGAGGCATCCAGCCAAACACGGTCGCCAACCTTGAACTCCGGAGACGGAGTGCGTCTCCGGTAGTAGCGCTTATACTCTTCCTTGGCCTTAGTGAGCGCGGCCTTGGCTTCGGCAACCCCAGTGGCAATTCGGTCGCGGAACTCGTTCACAGACTCCATAGCGGAACGGGCTCCGGGTTCAAAGCCCATGCGCGGAAGCCGTCCCGTGTCCGTCATGAAGGGGACTTGCTGCGTGGATGAGTGGACGTGGTTGTTGTAAGCGAACTCCGCGGCCGGAATCAGCTCATCCCAGTCGTCCTGCTGATAGTTGGTGAAGATCCGCAGGTACTGCTCCAACTCCTGGTTGACGCGCTCTGTCTGACCGTCCGTTTGCGGATGATACGCGGTGGACGTGGCTGGCTTGATGCCGATTAGACGCCAGAGTTCTCGGGTGAAGTCCGCGATGAACTGTGAGCCACGGTCGGAGACGTACTTCTCCGGAGTCCCGTGATGGCGCCAGACATTCCGGTAGTAGAGGCGGGCTGCTCCTACTGCGTCGACCGTGGTATGGCACTCGGAGAAGTGGGCTCGCTTCCCAAGGGTGTCCACGACGACCATGATCGCGTCGTCGTACCCATGGGCCTCGGGGAGCTCGACAATGAAGTCGACGGAGACGGTATGCCAGCGCTCGGGGTGTTTCCGTCGGGTGTAGCTCTCCGTGGGGCAGTCTCCGGAGCGCCTTGGTGCGACAGCACAAGTCGCAGGTCGCAACGTACCGGCCGATATGGCGAGACATCTGAGGCCACCAGTAGTTCCGGGAGACCAACTCCAAGGTCTTGAAGCGACCGGCATGTCCGGCGACTCGAGTGTCATGGCAGAGCTCGATGATGCGCCTCCGGAGGTCCTTGTCCTTGGGCACGACAATCTTCCCACGAAAGTGGAGAAGACCACCGGAGACGGCCCACTCGTCGGAGCGTGAGGAGCGGGGGCCTCGAGCTTGACCTTGGACCTTTAGGAGTTGCCGGGCCGCTAGTGCGACGGGCTCCTCCAGGTCAGGCTCACCGGAGAGGGCATCGCGAATGTCGCGAAGAAGTTCGGAACCGGGACCGGAAACGGAAACACCCTCGAGTGCGCGGACGTGGAAGAGTTCGGGCCGCAGAAGGACGACGTCGGAGTTGTCGGAATCGATTCCGTGGTCGGGTCTCCGAGAGAGGGCGTCAGGTCGGCCCATGTCGCGACCAGGCTTGTGGTGCAGCGTGAAGTCGAACCGGGAGAGGTAGAGGGACCAGCGGGCCTGTCTCCGGTTGAGGTGCTGCGTCTTCCTGAAGTACTCCAAATTCTTATGGTCAGTCCAGATCTCGACGGGATGCGCGGCACCCTCGAGGAAGTGTCTATACTCCTCGAGTGCGCGGATGATCGCGAGCATCTCCTTGTCGTGGATTTCGTAGTTGCGCTGGACATCATTTAAGCTTTTGGAATAGAATGCTACAGGGTGCCACTTCCCGTCCGGGGGGATTGTGAAAGAACCGCCCCCGTCGCATAATCAGAGCTGTCCGCCTCGAGTCGGAAAGGCCGTGCGTCGTCGTCCGGAATCGCCAGGACCGGTTCCGAGGTGACCGCGTCCTTGATCGCTTGGAACGCGGGAGGCCTCCGCGTCGCCCCAAGTCCATTGCTGGTCCTTCTTGGTGAGCGCAAAGAGAGGACGCAGGGGGCCGAGAAGTCGCGAATGAACCTGCGGTAGAAATTAGCGAACCCAAGGAACTGCTGAACATCCTTCTTGTTTTCCGGAGTCGGCCAGGCGGAGACGCCTGCGACCTTGACGGGGTCCATTTCGACGTGGTTGTGGGAGATGATGACTCCGAGGTATTCGATTGACGATTTTTCAAGTCGCACTTCTCCGCTCGGAGGTACAACTTATGCTCTCGGAGTCGGCGCAAGACCTCCTGGACGATCTGTCGGTGTTTCCGGAGGTCGGAATGGGCGATCAGGATGTCGTCCAGGTAGATCATGACGTCTCCGGAAAGGATGAGGTCCTGGAAAATGTCATTCATCATCGTTTGGAACGTCACGGAGAGTTTGTCAGGCCGGAGTACATCACCAAGGGCTCGAACAGGCCTCGGTTAGTCCGGAAAGCTGCCTTCCACTCATCACCTTCTTTGATCCGGACGTTGTTGAAGCCCCAACGAACGTCGAGTTTGGTGAAGTAACGAGCGCCTTTGAGCCGGTTGATGAGGTCGTTGATCAGCGGAAGGGGGTACCGGTTTTTGACGGTCATCGCGTTGAGGGCCCGATAGTCCTGGACAAAGCGGAGTCCGCCGTCCTTCTTCTTGACGAAGAAGACCGGAGACGCCATCGGAGACTTGGAGGGGCGAATCCAGCCCGTCGACAGCCCTTCCTCGATGAACGCGTCGAGCTCGCGTTGCTCAAGGGGGAGATGGGGTACACCTTGCAGTTGGCCGGC